TCAAGGGTATAGAAAGAAATTCCATCTTGTATTTACCCCATCCTCTCACTTCTCCCCAAGTTCAGGATTACATAAGAGGCTTGGAAAGGATTAATTGGAGCCATCTCATGTATCTTGTTTTAAGTTTGTTTTTTTAGTTTGTCTTTTCCTGTGGGTTCTCAGTGAAGGAAATGGATTCCTAATCACAGCAAAAAGCACTGAGAAACCTGTGAGTCAAAGTCTTTTGGGTATTATGGCAGCCAATAGTTACTTGATTTTGAAACATTATGTCCACATCTTCCCCTCTCTACTCCATTCAGCAGATTTTATTGAGTACTGGGCATTCTCTCTCTTTTTAACCCCTCCTTTTGGGGGATGAAATATAATATACAAAACAGTTCATAAAACAATTTACAGCTTAACCAAATATAAAATAAACACCCATGCAATCGGTAACCCCAATGTTATAAAAAATAAAATCTTATGGAAGTTTTTTGTTTTGCCTTTAATGTTTAAATCTACAATCTACTTGGAGTTTGATTTCAGACTTGGAGTAAGATAAGGTCAAGTTTAATTTTTTTCTGAATGGAGATGCAATTACCTTACCACCACTTATTGAAAATACTCCTTTCACCTGCTAATTTGCAATGCTTTCTTTCCCATATTATGTATCTCATGTAAAAATTAACCTAGAAATGTATATTATATGTTAAAAAATGAAAGTCCTATGCTCTTCTCCTCCCCACCCCTTGGCCCCACTTCCTAGAGGTAATGACTAATGTGAATAATTTAGGATGGAACCATGTGTAATTTATTCCCTATATGAATAGAATGTTTTCATAAAAATTGTATCAAACTTCTCATACTTAAGTGGCTCAATTCACATAATATATTTGGACACTGTTTCACATTGGCACATTTCACATTTATGATTTACTGAGCAACTGCTTCTACCTGATCGATGCATTATCTGTGTGAATGCTCTGTGAAATGCCCACTGGCAAGCACAACTAGAATTACTTTAAAGTGAATTTGAGGGGAAATGGAAGAAATGAAAGAATATGTGTGCCGAAATCCACTCTGGACACCTTGATTCCTTCTTGGTATTCAGGATTATCTTTGAAGGCTTTGCCTCCTTCCTGTGCTACCTCTTGCCTGGGGCCTTTGACCCACAGGACTCCGGACAGTGCTGTGCAGTCCTCACTCATGTGTGCAATCACCTGGCACTTCTATGACAAGGGCACCTGAAATTTGGGAATAAATCCTTCGCGTCTCCAGCATAAGAAGAATTGGGATGACGCTTTCATCTCACATTTCTTTCGAGAACTGTGTACTACATGGCCCAGGAGAACTGCTTGGCTCAACAGCTAAAAGAACTTTTCTCTGGAAATGACTTTAAACTTATTTATTTTTCTAAAGGCAAAAAGTGATATTTGAGCGTCCCTGAAGAGCAGAGGTGACTCAGCAGAGATTTTTGCTGAGACTTTATGGGAATGCATTGCAACAAACATTCTCTACACATGATGGTCCTCTAATGTGGATGGAGATTTATTGGCCTGCAGATAAGATAAATTGAGGCTTTATGAGAGGCACAATTTTCTGAAGTCACTTAAAGCTGATTTCATGAGAGTGCTATTTGTACATCCTCAAGCTTGCTATTTAAAGAGATTTGTTCAGTTTTGACAAAATTGCTCTGAACATGAGCAATTTTCTCCTATTATGGAGTGTCTCATTTTCAGATGCTGTTATACATTCTTCCAGATGCACTCTCCCTTCTCTTGCTCTCTCTCAGACCCCCTGAAGGCCAGAGTTAGGAGGCTATGCAGGAGGTGGCAGTAAATTTGCTAAATGATGATCTGAGCTTACCTCTGCTCCACCTGGGCTGCTCCAGCACAAGGCCGCTGTACTTGCCCACCTACCAAGGTCAGATGAACGTCATGCACCCAAGGAACAGGAGAACCATTGCAAGCACTTGTTTCTCCACTCTCCAAGATCTGTTTATTTGCACCAATATGTATATGGATTTGTTTTAATGTACAGTTTCCAGAGCAGGCTTAATTTGGATAGAGAACTTTCCATTATTCCCACCCTAAGTGGAGGAGGTGCCTAAGATAGAAGGTGGAACTTGAGCACACTCAGCTCCCTTTGTGGGCCCAGGAAGCCATTCCTGTGACCGCAGTAGTCTTATTGTGCCCAAGCTAAAGAAATTAAGAAAGGAAATAGGCATATTTTTAAGGAAGGCAGAAAACAAACTTGCTGTAGTCCCTCAAGTATGGCAGAGAGAAGATGAGATTAAAGGCATCAAGAGACCTGGAGATCAGGCAGTAGCAGCATTTCAACAATAGTAGACACCATAGAGGAGGCCCACTGAGTAGCTATTGATGCTTATTTTATCTTCCCAAGACTCTCTGGAGCATTATCGTATTTTGTACAGTTAAGGAAACAGACTTGGAGACATGAATCTTGCAGTACAATAGGTAGAACACAAGTTTGGAAGTCACTTATTGGCCATGTGGGCTTAGGCAATTCCTTTGACCTTCCTGGACCTAAGTTTCCAATTTGGCTAGAACATCTCTAAACTCTTGTTTCCATTCTGACTTAAGTGGATTGATCTTGTAAGGTAGAGAAATCCAAACATAAAACCCTAATAAACTTATGACCATTAGACCTTGCAAGGGAACAAGTGCCCATTCAACAATATTCATTACCCCTGACTCTGGGTGAGGCCCTAGGATGCAGAGATCAACAACAAAGGCCCTCTCCCCCTGGAGTTGAATTTTGATGATCTGGGGAGGGGCTTAAATAGACTATTTCTTAGAACAGTTTTTGATTTATAGAAGAACTGAGGAAGTAATGGTAACAGTTCAGTATATCCTTTCACCCAGGTTCCCCTAATAGATGCCTTACCTTGGTATGGTGTGTGTGTGTGTGTGTGTGTGTGTGTGTTGTGTGTGTATCCATTACAATTAATAAGCCAATATGGACACATTATTATGAATTAAATCCCATGGTTTACTCAGATTTTGGTTTTTATCTAGTGTCTCACTTTTTGTTCTAGAATACTGTAGTACACTTAGGCATCATGTCACCTCAGACTCCTCTTGACTTTGACAGAATCTCCAGCTTCCCTTTCCTGACAGTTCTGAGAAATTCTGGCCAACCTATGATTCTCCTGGCTCAGCCTCCTGAGTAACCATTGGGAGCTCTTTCAGTCTGCTCACCTCTTTGAAATTCCAGTCAGCGCAGGGGTTTTCTGGCTTTTTTTTTTTTTTTTTTTTAGTATTTCCCTACTTGTATGGTACGACAAAATGTTCCAGGCTCATACTGCATTGTTTCCTGCTGCAGTTCTAGAATCAGCCATTTCTCTAAGGAACTCTGGTTTTTATCTAGGTGTTAGGTGTACTAGTTGCTGATGAAATTGTGGAATTATGTTAAAATGGTGATTTCTTCAGCTTATAAAATAATTATGTGCTCATCATAAAAAATAATTAGAAACTTCAGAAATATATACACACACAAATTGATTTAATTATTTCTACTATTCACTACCGTAAACAGAACACTTTTCGCTTTTTTTTTTTTTTTTCTCATTGGATTTACATAGCCAGAACTGGAGTAACAGACTGGGGAGGATAAAAGTGGAATTGCTTTTGTTCCTAAAAATGTGTAGAATGACATGTGCATGTCTGTGATTCCAGCTACTCAGAAGGCTGAGGCAGGAGGTTCTCAAGTTTGTGTCCAGCTTCAGCAATTTAGCAAGATCCTGTCTCAAAAAAGGGAGTGGGGGAGGGATGTAGCTCAGTGGTAGAGCTTCTCTGGGTTCAATCTCTAATACTGGAAAAAAAATGGGGGGGGGTAAGATGTTGGTAACAACACAAATTTCATGGCCAGTTATTGCTCCAACAGTCTGGAAGCGCTTGGTGGAACTATAAAAGATAGGAAGTGGATGGGACTTTGGAGGTTGTCTGGTTCATTCTCTCATTGTAAATAAATATGTTGGCTGTTGGGAAGTTGTGGTGAGGTTCTCTATTCAGGGACTGGCTAAGCCAAAGTCCTGCCTCAAAGTAGTTAGAGAGCCTGGCCTGAACTGAGAGCTGGGGACCTGCTTCCAAGTCAAGTATGTTTTCTACTTTGCTTTTTCAGTACAATAAATAATCATGAGCTGGATTAACACATATCAACAATTAAGAGAACTAACTTTGGAATCAGATAGATCTAGATAGACTTCAGTTCTATCTTCATTACTTATTGCTGTGTGACACTGGGCAAGGTTCTTAACTTCTCCAAGCCTCATATTCTTCATCTGAATAATAAAACTAATAGTTACAATTATATAGTGTCATACTAAGTTTCAGACACTTCACGCATTTAATTCATTGACTTTTCATAACAACTTCGTATAGTAAATGCTATAATTATCCAGATTTTACAGCTGAGGAAAACAATATGCAGAAAAATAAAACAACTTGTCAGGGTTGGTAAGTAGTAGAGCCCTGCTTTGAAGCTGGACAGTCTAATTCCAAAGCCTATGTTCCTAAACATTACATGACACCTTCTCTCTTTATCTTAATAACGTATCCAACTTTTCCCAGAAAACTTCAGGCTCTTTCTCCTTCTGCTCCAGAGCTCTCATGAGTGAAATTTCATAACTCATTAATGGGACTACGGGATTCTAGCAGTGGGAATGCAACTTGCTCTGGGACAGAAGCCTTGGATTCTACTCAGGATTAGTGCCAGCATCTTGCACAGGAGCTTATGATTTTAAAACGCATAAGGTAGTAGGGAAAGCCATGAGATTTGGAGTCACAAACCTAAGATTTAAGCACCACTTCTTTAATTCAAGTGCACTAAGCAAGTCACTTAAAACCTGACTTCCTTGCGCAGAGAATGGAGCCGGGAATATATGTGAATTAATGTGAACGTAATTCAGCTCGACGTTTGTCGTTTCAGCTAGTGAGTCTCGATAAACCTGGTGGAGAGACTCTAGCCACCCTAAATATTCCAGGAGAGATAGCAAGAAGGCCTTTGTAGGAGAATAACTGCAAGGAAACCTCCAGACCATAGAGGTCAGTTCCTAGAGAGGCCTATCGTCACTTCCGCTCGCCCCTCTAAATTGCGCCTGCGCACAACATCTCTTCCTCTTCGGTCTCGGGCCTAAGTCGCGGCGACATGGTGAGTGTGATAGTTCTTGCAGCGTAAGTGTTTATCCGTCTGCATCTGTCCTCTCGCTTTTTCTCCGCGCCCGCCTCTGCCCGCCAGCCCTTCCCCGAGCCCTTTCCAGTCTTTATGCCCTCTCCTTTTCTGGAGACTTGACTCTGGGACACACCGAGGCGGCGGGGCAGGGACCTCTTGCCCAGGCTCTCGGAGCTTTGGGCGCGTCCCGGACCTCTGTTTCACCGGGTTTAATTTTTTAAAAACTAGGTCACAGAGGAGGGGCTGAGGTGTGGAGACACCGGGACCTGGGTTTCAATTCTAAATGTCATTGGTCTGTCCCTTTCCTCGATCTCAACAGGCTAAACGCACTAAGAAAGTCGGAATCGTCGGTAAATATGGGACCCGCTACGGTGCCTCCCTCCGGAAAATGGTGAAGAAAATCGAAATCAGCCAGCACGCCAAGTACACATGTTCCTTCTGTGGCAAAGTAAGGTGGTCTGGGGAGGGGACAGGCTTCCTCTCCAAGGGGGCTTGTAAACAGTGCTGGTGAGCACTGGGAATTGCGCCTACAGTCGATTAACATTTGTGAAATGAGAGCATGGTGGTACCCTTAGGTTTTGGGAAATGTTCTTCACTTAAACAAAATTACTGAGGAACTGAAGGGTAAAAAGGATAGTCCGCATCTAATAACATCCTTTTAACAAATATTTGGCCATTTACTAGGTGCTTAAGTTGGTTTTATTGTGTACAAATTAAGTTCCTGAAAGCTGGCAAGATAAAAAGGTTTTTGTTTGATTCATAGCGAAAAATTGATTCTTTTGCAGACCAAGATGAAGAGACGGGCTGTGGGGATTTGGCACTGTGGTTCCTGCATGAAAACTGTGGCTGGTGGTGCCTGGACCTACAAGTGAGTCCATTTTTCTGTTGTCTAAAAGTCTGTGGGAACAACATAGGCCTCTTTCGCACCTGATGGGTTAGGAGAGTAAAGATGCTTTGGGGGGCCCTCCCCCAGAATTCTTTAGTGTCATAGTTTACTTTCCATTCAAAGAATAGAAATAAAACTATTGAAATAAAATTTTATGAGATGCTTTGAAATCCTGTAAAATGACCCCAGTTAGTGTTGTGATATTTTGCAGGTCCCTCGCTGATACCTTGAGTCTGTACAGAACCTTGGCTTGCACTGCAAGTTGTTTTTGTAAAGATATTTTTTTTTAAGAGGTCAGTTGGTTTAAAACTGTATGGAAACTTGAAGCCATATGGACCTTCATACCTCTGTTGTTGTTTGGATTTATTTACCATTGTGACCCTACAGGGCCAGGTAATACTATTGGGGGGGGGAAATATATATATATATATATATATGTATATATATATTTGTGCTGGTATTGCTTGTTTTGACTCTTAAGTGTATCCATTTCCAGAAATTATAGCTGTCCTTAAAGGCTTCTAGAAGTGGAGTTGTTTGTTGACTCTGAATTCTGAGAGCCTGACTTTTTACTCAAGCCAGTGTGTAGATCTGTGCTGTCCGCAACAAACTAGCCATATACAATATGATGTATATGTATTTTTAGGTTAATTTTGCCCTTCAACTGAAATAGTGGAAAATGTTGAAATGTTAATATGGATGTATATTTAAGCATCTCCTTTTAATTTGTGGTGACAAACAGTAAAATGATGTCAAGGGTACTTAGCTCCGATAGTAAAGTGAATGAGCATTCTTAAGCCCGCCATGGAATAGTTTTGTGACTTTTCCTGAATTTTGTTCTAAATATTTGTGGTCACTTTTTTGTTTGATTTTTTGTTGTTGTTGTTGTTGTTGGTTTTGGGGGCAGGTACCAGGGATTGAGCCCAGGGGTGCTTAACCACTGAGCCACATCCCCATTCCTTTTTTTTTTTTTTAAACACAATGCCTTTATTTTTATGTGGTGCTGAGGATCCAATCCTGATCCCACCCGTACTAGAGGAGCGCTGTACCGCTGAGCCACAACCCCAGCCCATTCTTTTTCGAGACAAGGTCTCACTGAGTTGCTTAGCATCTTGCTAAATTGTTGAGGCTAGCCTCAAAATTGCAGTGCTCTTGCCTAAGCCTCTTGAGTCTCTAGGATTACAAGTTTGTGCTACCTCGCTCAACTCTAGTCATTTTAATATCTCTTTTTTGAAAAAGCTTAAAGAATTGTTTGATCTTTATATGCCTATAGTCCCTGCTACTTGGGAGGCTGAGGCAGTAAGATGTAAGTTTGAGGCCAGCCTCAGCAACCTGTCTCAAAAAGGCCAGAGTTACCAGGGGGTTAATGTGGCTTAGTGGTAACAGTGATATAACTTGGCCTAAGTATGTGCTAAGCTGTGGATTCAATTCCCAGTAACAATCCCCCCTCCCCCCCAAAAACCCTATCTTATTGTATTGGCTTGAAACTTTATTCATTTCTTCTATGTATTCCCAATTGGTGAATTTAGGCAAGCTATTCCTCTCCTTTTTTAAAAAAATACTGTTTAAGAGATTAGTTATATGTGGTTGCCTTCTAATTTTGTAAGAGCCTAAAGGTGTGGCTCTTAAAAGATGCCATAGTATAGTTTTGTGAGCCCCTGATTTCTGAATAATAGTTTTAATATTAGTTAAGTCTTTGGGTTAACTGCAAGTAGTCTTTTTCCAGAAGTTAAGAAAGTTTTTAGGATTTTCCTGTAACAATGAGGTAGCTTTATTTGACATTTTATACTCTAATATGCTTAATTTATTGGAAACTGAATTTTTCTTCACAGCACCACTTCTGCCGTCACAGTCAAGTCTGCAATCAGAAGGCTGAAGGAATTGAAAGACCAGTAGAAAGTTCTACCATATAGCAAAATTGTGGTTTGTTTGTTAATTGTATTAACTGGATGTTCTGATGTGAATTGCATTAATATTGCCCTTTCAAAAGATTTGTAAATTGAAGCCCTTCTAATTTGAATTGGAAAATTTTGCTAGATGGGTTATTGTAATTCAGGTCTTTTTTCTTCAGTAATCAGATGATAATGGCATGAACTAAGTCTTATGACTTAATATATACTCAGCTTTTTTTGTTTTTTTTAAAACACTGTTCAACTACTCCGAGATACATTGATATTGTACAAAATTTGTTTTAAAGGTAAAATATGCTAAAATACACAAAGGATATACATAAATTGCCTCTTTTGGTGTTTCATTTGAGTGCACATGAACATGTGAAACAATTATATAACAAGTTTTTGAATGTGTCCGCCATCCTTTTGTTTAGTTTTCACACAAGGGTTCATAGATTGAATTCAATTTCATATAGATGGTAACAAAAGAGTCTTAAGTTCCTTGGAGGAGTTTACTAGTTATGATTAGTTCTGGTGGTTATTATCTCTTTCTCAGCCATGTCTAAGCAGCCATCTGTGGTAGGGACTCCAAAATCAGTAATTCTTCATGAATGTAAAGGTTATAAAACATGGATTTCCTTTACTGTTAGAATAAAGACCTTTGTGACTTTTCTTGAATCAACTCCTTTCTGATAAATCTTGCTTTTGCCCTTTAGTGACCCCCCCCCCTTTTGCCCCAAATAGCTTATACACAGATGTTTCCTTCATCTACTCCAGAGCTGGTTCTGGCACAAATATCACCTCAGGGCAGTACTTCTTGACTGGGTTAACCTCTTCTAAACTCATAAAAATAATGGGTTAGATTTTTTGTTTAGGTTATTGTTTCAACAGGATTTAGCTTATTGTAGTGTACCCAGTACCAAGCATAATTCCTTGCACTTGGCCTGCTTAAGTAATGAGTAAATGTGGTCTTTTTTTTTTTTTTAACAAGATTTTGTACTCCACTGATTTTTGTCCTGTGAAGCATCATTTGGTATTGTGGGTCAGTGATTGGTGGTGCCATGAGGGACAAATTAGACTATTTCATAGTGTTTGACCCAGGTCTTCATAGGAATTTCCAAGTAGTGGCTACAATTTCTAGTCAGCATTGAGAGTTGAATTAACTTTAGTTGCCCTGAAGTGCACCATGTAGCCACACTGCCTAGCTAGTTGGGCTAGGGTTAAATTAACTCTGTTGCGGTTTGCTGTAAAATGCCTTGTAGAATAGAGTATTTAGGGGGTTTGGAATCATGGTTGAAGTCTTCTGTGTTACCTTGCTAGGAATTAGCTCGAGTCACTAAGAGTACTGTCTTGTTCAGTCCAACAACTTGACAGATACATAATGTCCCATTTACATGTAAGAAAGTTAAGTAGTTTATGAATACCTTTTTTTGGGGGGGAGGTGAATCTACATACTTCTGGCATCAGCTGAAAGTGAACATAGGTAGAAAATGGTGAAGCACAGTTCTCGCAGTGGGAAGAATTTAAAAGGTAGGATCTGTTTTGCAAAAATGATTTGAGGTGAAGCTTTATACTGATTCTTAGGCACTGGCTAATGGTTTGGCCAACAAACAGGTCAGAATTTCAAGAACAAGAAGGAAAAACAAGGCTAATTCAAGGTTCTAAATAGAACTATGGACATTGCTCTCATTGATGAACTAATTCATTCTGAGAACATCAGCTATTTTCCCCAGCCACCAACTTGTTGCTTGTTCAAAAAGCCCATGAACAAAACAGTCATGATAGCAAGAAATGGAACCTGTGTATGAGCTCTAAAACATGGACCTCTCCTCACAAAGGCAGAGCTGCTATACCATTCACAAAGGGTACCATCTAGCCAAGTTATTACTTTGGACCTCTCCCATCATTGCAAAGAGCAACAGTATGTTAAGGACAGGCATTGAGCTGGGCAGGTAGCTCAGCGGGATAGTACCTGCTTAGCATGTGCAAGGTCCAAGGTTCAATCAGCACTACCTACCCACTGAAGTAAATAATCTGTGTATGAGCTGTACACGTATGGATTTGTCTTTCATACATACAATATATCTGCAGGTGCTTTATCTGTCATTGTGGTATCCTTTGCAGTATAGTCTGACAGTATGGAATAAAGAAAGTCATTTGGTTACAAGAGACAGCATGCTTTAAGATATTGGCTTGCTCTGAAAACTTGGGTATACACTACCTGGAGTAAATTTACTGAGCATAAGGTAACTTTCCTACAAAATGTCTGTAATTCAGTTTATCAGTATATGGTGCCATCTTCCCAATAGCCAGGATGGATGTGTAAAGAAATAAGATGGGATATGAGACTGAGGATTAGGCCAGTTGTCTCTCTGAAGGCATTTTTTGTTTTCTATTTAGCTTGCAACCTTGAATTTAATGAGCTCAGAGGTTCTGGTACTTACTGCCTATTTTTTTCTTAGGACCGTATTTTTGACTGGATTTAAAAAGTCAATATGTTGATTATTTTGGGCTTTGTATACCACTGAACCAACAGGCAGGAAAGGTGGTCTTCTAACATTGTCTTTTGGCAGGGGGTAGGGAGGGTACTAGGGATTGAACTCTGGGGCACTAGACCACTGACATCCCCAGCCCTATTTTGTATTTTATTTAGAGACAGGGTCTCACTGGATTGCTTAGCACCTTGCTTTTTGCTGCGACTGGCTTTGAACATTTGCTGGGATTATAGGAATGTGCCACCACACCCAGCTAGATTTTCTTTACAACAGTTTTGTGGTAGATTTCTAGGAGATTTCTCTCCTATATATGATCTATAAGGATGGACTCCCTTGTCCTTGCATTCTAGGTAGGTTCAAAAAGTGGGAAGTACCAGCAGAATATCCAAAAGTGGAGTCATAATTATTTTTCCTGCTTCTCCTTGCTTTAAAGCGACTTCTAGGTTGGATATAGCTCAGTTGGTGCAGTGCTTGCCTCACATACACAAGGCTTGGGTTCAATCCCTAGTACCACCCCCCCCCAAAAAAAAAAAAAGATTTCTATTAAAGGCCATAGTTCCCATTAGGTGGTCTTTGCTCTATTACAACAACTACTGAGATTTATTCCTTTAGGCCTCAGTGTGTTAATGACTCTTGTTACTTGCTGTGGAAAGCTTCATCAGTCCACTGTAGGTTTCTTAATTTTTTTTTTTTTTTCCTTTTGGGGATTGAACCCACTGAGCCACTATTTTTATTTGTTTAATTTTGAGACAGGGTCTGGCAATAACAGTACTTTCCTTTGGCTATGAAAAGATGATCACATGACACAAGCCGATAAAGGTGATGAAACAAAGTATTTCTTCTAGGCATTTGTAAATTGAGCAGTCATAACAGGGAGTGGCTATCTGAGATGGAGCCTTTCCTTTAGTGAAAGTATATTAAGAAAGACCATGGATTGCTGTCTAGGAGATTCTCTGAAGTTACCCTGATTCTTGCCTGGATATTATCTCTTGCTTTTATTTTTTGTGAGTGACCCAGTGTGAAGTCAGACTCCCAAGGGCTGCATCTTAGAAGTAGGAGTGAACAAGAAGTAAATGCCCTCATAGAGACTAAAGATGACTCCAAATAATCTTAATCAATGATTGAATTTAGTTAGTCTAGCTAATTCTTAATAGTGCTCTAGCTGCCTACAGGAAGCAAATGCAAATCCTCTCTGAAAATAAAATACTTTAAATTCCAGTTTGTAATAATTTTTTATATATCATGTCTGGGCTTTAGTGAAAATAACTAGGCATTCAAGGGGACAAGACAATTAATAGACAATTGAAACAGACTCGCAGGGTGTCCAAATAAGTTATCAAACATCGACTTAAAAATAAATGCTTCAGAAACAGCCCCTAATGGAGAGCCGAGGAGCGTCCGCGTTGGAGGCGCGTTACCCTGGGCCGGCTCGGCCCCGAGCTTGAGGAGGCCGCAGTTCTGCTTACTGTGATTACTTGGTTAATACCCTTGGACTTGGTTCTATGATGCAAATGGAGTGTAGGACTCAGTAGTCTCGGCTCTGAATGAGAGAAGCCTCACCTTCAAGATGGAGAAGAAGCGGAGAAAGAAATGAGAGCCTCTACGGGCAATGCCATGGAAGGCCATGGTCTTAACTTTTATTTACACTGGACAAGACTATAAGATGGCTCGTCAGTAATGCTGCAGTTTTTAACAGAAACAAGAATTCACTTCTAATCAAGGAAGAAAGAAGTGCGACTTGAATTCATAAGATTTGATGACTATATTCACTTATGACCATGAAGCTCATAAACATCTGGCTGCTTCTGGTGATTTTGCTCTGTGGGAAGAGATATCTGGGTGACAGACTGGAAAAGAAGTCTTTGGAAAAGGCCCCCTACCCTGGCTGTTCCCACCTGACTGTGAAGGTGGAGTTCTCCTCGACAATTGTGGAATATGAATATATTGTGGCTTTCAATGGATACTTTACAGCCAAAGCTAGAAATTCATTTATTTCAAGTGCCCTAAAGAGCAGTGAAGTAGACAACTGGAGAATTATACCTCGACACAATCCATCCAGTGACTACCCTAGTGACTTTGAGGTGATTCAGATAAAAGAGAAGCAGAAAGTGGGGCTGCTGACGCTTAAAGACCATCCACACATTAAACGGGTCACGCCGCAGCGCAGTCTTTCGCTCCTTGAAATACACTGAATCTGACCCGATCGTGCCCTGTAATGAAACCCAATGGAGCCAGAAGTGGCAATCATCACGTCCCCTCGGAAGAGCCAGCCTCTCTCTGGGCTCTGGCTTCTGGCATGCCACAGGGAGGCAATCAAGTCGATGGTTGCTGAGAGCCATTCCACGCCAGGTTGCCCAGACGCTGCAGGCGGACATGCTGTGGCAGATGGGATACACAGGTGCTAATGAGAGTTGCTGTTTTTGACACTGGGCTGAGTGAGAAGCATCTCCACTTCAAGAATGTGAGGGAGAGAACCAACTGGATCAACGAGCGCACCCTGGATGACAGGTTGGGCCACGGCACATTTGTGGCAGGTGTGATCGCCAGTATGAGGGAATGCCAAGGCTTTGCTCCAGACGCAGAGCTTCATATTTTCAGGGTCTTTACCAACAATCAGGTATCTTACACATCTTGGTTTCTGGACGCCTTCAACTATGCCATATTAAAGAAGATCGATGTGCTGAACCTTAGCATCGGGGGCCGTGACTTCATGGATCACCCCTTTGATGACAAGGTGTGGGAATTGACAGCTAACAATGTGATCATGGTGTCTGCCATCGGCAATGATGGGCCCCTTTATGGCACTCTGAATAAGCCTGCTGATCAGATGGATGTGATTGGAGTGGG